GTGGTGAACATAATGTAATCTATGCAGAAATAGAAGTATAATGATGTACACCTGAAACTTATACAATGTTATAAACCAGTGTTACTGCAATAAACAAAAAAAAAAAAAAAGAAAAATCAAACCTATGTTTGTATATTCTAACAATAGTGAGTAATGTACTTTAACAATTTCCATCAGAAACAGTCATAATGAAGTTAATACTCAGTTATCTAAAATTCCCCTAATATTTAATCCTTCATTTTATGAAGATTCTGTATAAATTAAGGATTTCTGTGAATTGAATCCAATGTACCAATATTTTTGAAAAATTATCAATGCAATGATACTTTGTTCATTCTGAACACAAAGATGTTAAAATTAAACAGGTCATTTACCTGAGCAATAATTTTTTAAAGGATGTAAAGTTCTTCTCCTTTATTTCCTCATGCTGAGATAGTCCAGCAAAAAAGAAGTCAGGCAGATATTTCAGTGATGTGAATTATATGAATGATTGGAAAATGTGACCAGATAGAACTGGGAGGCAGCAGTAAAGAGCAGACGAACTGAACAGACACAAGTCCACGATTTCCAGTCCCAGAGAACCACTCATGCTGTTGTCACTTACCAAACCCCATGAGAATAAAAGAACCTATCAGCATGACGAAGGTCTGGAGGGTGTCTGTGTAAATAACTGAGGCCAAGCCCCCTGTGAAGAGAAAGACAAGAACCAAGACATTTTATCCATGTGTCCTCATCCATTTGCCTTCACCTCCAGTTCTCTTCCACCCAAACCCTGGAAAAGACTCAACAGAAAACATAGCAAAAGCTGGCTGGACCACAAACTCCTCTCAGCATCATCTCCTCAGTCGTTATGTCTCTCATTGACCCTCCTGTCTGCCTTGCCTTGCCTTGACTCAAAGTTTCTATGAAATATTGTGGAGTTCCATCTTTGTGTAAGTTTTTGAATATTAAATAAGAGAAAAGGCAAAGTTTTAATAGCATGAAAGTTTCCCTCAACAATCCCTCAATTCACTCCATTTAGCACAATATTCTTGCTTTCAAAAAATTGAGCCAAGCCGTTTTCGCTGTAGTGTTGGAACACAGATATCATTGTTTCGTTAGTTGTACACCAGATAGAGTTGTTGACGTGTGTTTTGCTGCAATGTACAAAAAACAACTTCTCTTTCAACTCTAGACTCATTAGACTCTCAGTCAATAAGATATTTCTCTTATGAGAGTGTCTTGGGGAAACAAGATTGATCCTGAAAACAGGAGATTCATGCCCTCATCTCTCACTTACACTGAAACATATGCTCAGTGTTTGAAAATGGCTCCAGAACTGTCTTGATTGTTCCAGCTGTTATTTTCTTTATTTTTTCCTAACTGAGCTGGTATAGTTTAATTTTCATAAGTTAGTATGAATGAGACACTACATCAATGTATCTGGTTCGTGAAAACCTGCTTGAACTATTACCACATATCCTCTCCCCACAACCAACTCACTGCACCAGTTCTTCTTTCCTGATTCTGCCATTCATAGCCCACCACCATGCCCTGGCATCGTGTATTCATTTGGTGTATTCTCATGTCTGAGCTGCTATTTCATCCTGACCTTCCATGTGTGTGATATGCTGGATTCCAAATGCCAACCTGGGTACTCAACACATAGCTGAGCCAAATCACCATTTCCCTACTTTACCCACCATATCATTATCCTCCATCAAGGTGCTCACAACTAATTCCGAAGATTGTTCACTTTAGTTGTATTTCTTGGCCTGTGCCTGACTCTCATAGTGGGAATAAAAGGGTATCCTTACTTTGGTAGTGACAGGGATAACCCTGAGGTTGCTAATTGCAGATTGGGGTGAGATCAGCAGAAGATAGCATGACTGAGCTAAACATGCAATGGACTCACCAGTGATTGTGTAAATAGCAGTGACAGCCAAGAGGATGAAGATGGCCAGATAAAGGTCCAATCCCAAGGCCAGCTTGATGAATATGGCTCCAGAAAATATGTCTGACTAAAAAAGGAACAGTCAGGATGGAAAAGAAATGTGCGTTTCAAGCCTCTATTTTCTCTGCTCTAGTGTCCTTCCCCCCGCCCCCTCCACCAACTTCTTTTCGTGGTAATCTTCTGCTCATCCTTCAAAATTCCACTTAGATGTCCTCACAGCAATATCTTTCATAGAGCCTCAAACAGCAATTTTACTCTCTGTTTCTCTATATAATAGCAGTTAGTTCATTGCTAAATCGAGGCAGCATGACTGAGACCTTTTCCTGTACCAACAAGCTTAAAGAGGCTAAGTAATTGCTTATAGGAACACTCTTGACTATGATGGAGAATTTTTTCCACGTATTCTTAAAATCAACGTTTTTGTTTGCCAATGGGGATTTTCACAATTATATGTTTGTTTCAATTTTCCTACAATTATAAACACACCTATATATGTGTGTGTATGTGTATGTACATGTGTGCATATATGTAAATATTTCCTAATTCTGTCTGCTAAAAGAGCCACGATAAAAAAGCAACTCAATGAACACACTTAGCACCCAGACTTTGGTCTTTAATATCCTCCCGCAGAAAAATGAATGCTTCCAGGGCAAGAGGAGGGTTGGTACAAGATGAGTCTGGAACATTTTGTTATGCCAGAATTTGAGGAATTGCCCAAGAAAATGATGGAGGCATGTCACATTCTTTACACAGGAACCAGTTTGAGGAGCTTCTACTGGCCCAATCTGGTATAATATGAGCATCAATATAATTACATACAATAACCATTTGTAAACCAATGATAAATACAAATTTATGAGTCCATATCAGCAATAGATAAATAGATAGGTAGATAGGTAGGTAGATAGAGGAGAACGAAGGGCTCTTGCCTTTAGTAGGATGCTGAATGCTGACTGGTAACTACAGAAGGAGTGCTAGAGTTGGAAAATCTTCATTTGGCAACCATTACAGTAAAGATTGGATCAAGTAAGAATCATCTATGAATGACAAGTCTAGTGGTAAATTTTAAAGATGAACAGGATATTTGCATGGTTTAAGGTATCTCATCACAAACTGCTTATTACTTACAGGGGGAAAAACCCAGTAATTATACAGTGGAGAAATCTGGCAAAATCTCAACCAGGTGATCAAAAGCAACATCACCACTGAGGAACAGATGGACGTCAAATGTCTCCAGATAGGATACCTTGAGTAGGACACAATATGACTTATGCAGTATTCCAGCCAAGAATGCATAACCTGAATCCAACCATCAGGAAATACCAGAAAAATCCAAAATGAAGATTGTTATATTAAGAATGATCGGTGAGGACCTCTATTCTTCAATGTCATCAAAGATAAAAAAAGGCTACGGGTTCGTTCCAGGTTAAAGGAAGCTAAAGACACTTGACAACTAAATGTAATACCAGACCCTAGACTGCATTCTCTACCGGAAAAGTAAAGATACCAAAAAGGATATTATTGTGTCAATTGACAAAATTGGAATTTAGATAGTAGATTAGATAAAACTATTGTATCAATGTGACATTTAGTGAAGTTGATGATTTTACTGTGGTTTTGAAAGAGACTATTCCTCTTTCTAGGAATAGGAATATAAAGGGGGTGCTAGAATTGGAAAACCATCATTTTGCAACTGTCGTAGTAAAGATTGGATCAGGTAAAAATCATTGAATAGAATTGTCAACGATTCTAGAATCATCAATGAATGTTAAATCTGGGGGAAATTTATATGGAATTATTTGGGGATAAAGGGCATTGATATATGTAACGTAATCTCAAATCATTTAAAAATATGAGAGAGAGAGAAAGAGAGAGAAAAGAAGGGAGGGAGGGAGAGAAGAAGAAGGAATAGGAGGAGGAGAAAGAGAAGGAGAAAAAGAAGAGGGGAGGAGAGGAGAGAGGAGCAGGGAGAGGAGGAGAGGAGGAAGAAGGAAGAACAAAGAACAGAGGTTAGTATAGTAGCATTTCTCCTTGCCCTTGGGAGAGGGAAAGATTTCTTACTCGAAAAGCACCAACCAAAAAGAAAAGATTGCTAAAGTTGACTACATCAAAATTAGGAACTTCTGTTTATTCAAAGACAAGCCACATGTTTGGAGAAGATATTTGTAACACATAAAACCCATAAAGAGCCAGTACTCCTATAAAAGAATAAGAAAGAGACAAGACAACTCGATTTAAAAATGAACATGAAACCTGAATAGGCATTTCTCAAGAATATAGCCAAATGGTCAATAAACACCTGAGACCCCTGTGAAGATGCTCCATCTCACTGGAAATGGAAGGAAATGCAAATTAAAGCCACAATGAGACATCACCACACACTCATAGAATGGCTAAAATTTGAAAGATTGCAGACAACACCAACTGTTGATAGGTCTGTTAAGCAATATGAACTTTAATATGCTGCTGGTGAGAGTGTAAATGTAAATGCTTTGAAAACATGTTTTGTATTATCCACTAACGTCAAATAGATGTTTACCATATGACCAAGCAATTAGATTCCTTGAGCATACAGAAATGCATGTTTAAGGGCACTAAGAGACATATACCAAATGTTCATAGCGGCATTATTCCTAATAGCCAAGAGGTAGAAACCACATATTTCTTCACCAACAGTAGAACAAATAAAATTGGTATAGTCATACAATGCAATACTTCATAACAATGAAAATGAGTAATTGCATCAATAATATGGATGAATCTTACAAATATAATTCTGATCAAAAAGAGGCTAGGAACAAAAGAATACTTACTGCTTTGTCATATTTATATAAAATTCAAGAGGCAAAACTAACTTGAAGTGTTAGAAATTAGGGTGGTAGTTATTTTTAGGGGAAGGAGAGAGTAGTATTTGTAAGGAATCATGAGAGGGACTTCTTGGTTATGGGGGTATTTGTAATGAATGATTGACCTGTTCATTTATGTTTTGGGCACTTTTATGTTGTGTATAATACTACCCACACAAAAATAAAGAACTCTATACCGATAGGAAAACTGGGCTCTGTGCTGGCTGTGACGCTAATTCATGGTGTAAACTCAGACAAATCATTTCCACTCACTAGGCTCCACCTTGATCAGCTGTAAAAAGAAGAGTTTGGGTCAAATCAACTTTAGGATCCCTTTGTATAGTTGTGTAGGGTTAGAATTCTAATATTGGTGAAGGATAATGGACGGGGTGAGTGTCTACCAGCTGTTGCCTGGGACCTTGGCTCTCTACCTTATGCTGAGTTCTAAGTATTTGTTAACAAAGAAAGCATCTACAGGTACAATCACGGGAGGACAACACAACCGCATCAACACTTACAACATGATATAGTCCACACAACACTTTTAACTCAACTCTTCAAAATGCCATGTCAGTTCTAATTCCGGGTCTTTGCTCATGTTGTCTCCACATTTAGATTGTCCCTCCATCCAAACCCTACATCTGACTGAGCCTGTGTCCAAGAACTGTGGCTGTAGACTCTTTGGTGGGGAGTGAGTTGGTTCCTGCTAAATTTTCCCCAGCATTGAGTCTGCACTGCATCACTGATCTCTTCATTGATTACTATAGCTCTCTATGTCATCTCTGCAATCCAGTTATGAAGTCCTTGGAAGCCAGATCTCATCCTCAGAGGATCAATTATTGAACTGATCATACAGAAGAATGGTGAGTGAGTGAACGGAAAGTGAGCAATGTCTACACAACAGCTTGTATAGACTACTCTTTCATGATTGTTAGCAGAGAAAGAATAACGAAAAATAGAGGAGTAGGTAGACAGAGTAAAGCAATGATTATTGTTATGAAGGAAGATACCTGATCACGTTTGAGGGTAGTAGAAAGCAAGAAGTAATAGATGATGGTTCGGGGGGGGAAGCAAGTAGCCAGAGACATTGAGAAGAGATGGGATCAAGAGTAGACATAGGTTGGGGCCGGCCCAGCGGCGCAAGTGGTCAAGTGCGTGCACTCCGCTGTTGCGACCCAGGGGTCGGATCCCGGGCTCGCACAGATGCACTGCTTGTTGAGCCATGCTGTGGCGGCGTCCCATATAAAGTAGAGGAAGATGGGCACAGATGTTAGCTCGGGGCCAATCTTCCTCAGCAAAAAGAGGAGGATTGGCATCAGATGTTAGCTCAGGGCTGATCTTCCTCACCAAAGAAAAAAAAAAAAGAGTAGACACAGGTTGAGTGGTTGGCCTTTGACAAAAGGAAGACTCTTCAACTTCAGAGTTGTGGGGGGAAGGGAAAAATGAAGAAAAGATTATTTGGGTGGTTGGAGGGATGTGTTAGTTCATGCCTAAATTTCCTATGTCAAGTAAGAGGCGAGGTTTTCTGATAAGAGGCAGAGATCCAGGAGCTAAAGAAGTTGTAAACAGTTTAGAATAGTCACTAAGAGGACAAGGGTAAAAATTATAAGAAACACAGATGAAAGGATTATTGGTTGAGGTTTAGAGCCCAGCAGAGGGACTCTCAAGTCCACCCAGCTCTGCCTGAACCTCTGTACCCCCAAAGTGTGCTCCCAGCTTCCCTGATCTTACTTCAACACAAACTTGTGCTAGCCCCACTTGGATCTGCCCCTTCAGTTCTCATCCTCCCAGGCTCCACACACACACAAAAATCCACAAAAAACATCTGAAAAATAGCATACAAGCACGTTAGTTAGAAAGACAGAAGTAAAATCCCTGGGTGTAGCACAGAGTAAGTTGGAAGCTGGATTCAACCAAGGTTGGAGTTTTTCAAGGGGAGTTCAATGAAAGGGGAGATAGACAGAGAAACTGAGTCTATGTGCTGAAGAGTGATTATGAGGATAAATCATCGAATCTAAGGAAAAGGAAAGCATGAGTGAGGTGAGGAAAAGGGATAAGTGGCAGGATTCACAATCAGAAGAATTAGAGGTAGGTTTCTTTGAGTTTGGAATGGGTGTCACAGGAGATGGTTGTTTTTTCCCTCTAAGATTTGAAATAAAACCTATTGTTTTGTCATCTCAGCAGACATTTGTGTTGGTGAAAAGCCTGTTCTTGATTATCTGAGCCTAGAAACTAACTCTGTTTTACAAACACATAGTACTTCCTGTCAATTTGTTATCTCTGGGTTTTCAAGGAATGCAATGGCTGTGTAAATTGAGGGAAGACTGTACTTTTTACAAAATTGGATATTAACAAAATAATTATTACTATTTCAGAAAAAATATCACCTACTGAGATGCCACTCATTGTATTTGAGTTGCCATAAAACATACCTGCATCTGCCTGCGTTTATAGCTGTCAGATTCATACTGATCTACATGGTGGGGTGGGGATAAGTATTTAACTACAGTATTAGGACTTGTGTACTAATGCCTAATCATTTACTTGTTAAAACACTTATTATCATATTATGAATTCCTTGACTTTTGTTTCTCTTATACAGTAAAATTAAGGCATTAAATTGATGGTTTTGAAATTATATGTGAGTAGCTTATATTGCCAATGCGTTTTTATTGTGGTAAAATATGTATAAATAAAATTTGCCATTTTAGCCATTTTAACGTGTACAATTCAATGAAATTAATTACATTTACAATGGCTATAAAATATTTCTCATAAAAAAGAGGCATTGCATGATCCAGGATTTTCTTTTGCTATTAAAGGACATTATTAGGACAACAGTCAATATCTGATTACATAATAGTTTGTATCAAAGTTGATTTCCTGATTTTAAAATTTGCAGTGTGGTTTTCCAAAAATATATCAATGTCTTTAAGGCATACAGACTGAAATGTTTAGGAGTAAACATATGTCATGTCTGCAGTGATTCTCGATACAGTCACAGGATGCTTAACGATGGGGATATGTTCTGAGAAATGTGTTAGGTGATTTCGTCATTGTGCGAACATCATAGCACATACTTACATAAACCTAGATGTTAAATCCTACTACACACCTAGGCTATTGGTACTAATCTTATGAGACCACCATCATATATGCGGTCTGTCATTGACCAAAACATCGTTATTTGGTGCATGACTGTATGTGTGTTATTGGAGGTTGAGAACCAGTGAATAAGATGAACTGTTTCAAACCTGGGGAGGGGAGGACTGTGAAAGCTGTCCTGTCCTAACTCCTCATAATGACCTATTTAATAAGTAACCAGGACAGAATCTGTTATCAGAGAGTAATAGTACACAAAAGGTCGTGCCTAAGGTTAATTATTACAGATCTTCCTTGACTTACAATGGGGTTGTATCTCAACAAACCCATTGCAAGTTCAAAATGCATTTAATATACCTAACCTACCAAACGTCATAGTTTAGCCTAGCCTACCTCAAATGTGCTCAGAACACTTACATTAGCCTACTGTTGGGCAAAATCATCTAACACAAAGCTTGTTTTATAATAAAGTGTTGAATATCTCCTGTAATTTATTGAACACTGTATTGAAAGTGAACAACAGAATGTATGAAGCGTATTGGTTGTTTGTTCTTGCGATTGTGTGGCTGGCTAGGAGCTGTGGCTCACTGCCGCTGCCCAGCATCACAAGAATGTGTCCTACTGCATATTGTTAGCCCAGGAAAAGATCAAAATTCAAAATTCAAAGTATGGTTTCTGCTGAATGCATATCGTTTTTGTACCATCGTTAAGGCTGAAAAATCTTAAGTCGAATCATCATAAGCTGGAGGCTGTCTGACTAGTATTACTTAAAACATAACTTCGTAGATAAGAATGGACTCCTGCCACTGTCTCTTTCCAGCCAACCACACACCCCTCACAGTCACATACATGCTCTGGGTCCTCCATTCAGCTCCCCAACATTCCATCCCCTCCCGGCTACCGGGAACCTTCCACTCCAGGAGGCTGCATCCGTAAGGGGTCACTTTGGCCACTATCATTCTGCTCCTGTACCCTGTTCATGTTCTTTAGAACCATAAATCTGTAGATGTCAGAGCCAGAGGAGAACTAGAAGATCATCGAGTCCCACCCACTTATGGAACCTGCAAGCGCAAGGCCCCAGACACTAGCAGCCTACCCCCCGACCCCGCAAATGAGGACAATCTCCAATAATTCCACCCAGCAGGGACCAATCCCTTTCCTGGGGGTTCATAGCACGTCTCCTGTACTTGTCCACACACTCTATTGAAACTCGCATTTTAATATATAAATTTGCATATATCGTTATAAAATGTTAACTATGTCATGTTTAAAATTCTTATATCCTTAACCATAGGGTGAACTTCTAGTGCATAGGAATCTTTATTACCACTTGCAAGGAGCTCAAAAACATACAGTAAGTGCTGGGAAATGCTCACGTTGCATTAGGAAGGCTCATGTCATCTAATCTAAGTAGCTGGTTTACTTCCAGGAACAACTCAACTCAACAGAAGAGTGATAATGAGGGTTAGCTTCTTCTCTCATGAACTGCCTAGACCATAAACTTGCAGGAGATTATTTCATTAGTCACTGATACATGAGGAGCAAATGAGTCACTCTTTCTTTGTTTTCTACATGTGCTGCTGAATCTTCAAATTCCTTTCTTCTTTCCTCGATGATTATCTCCAAGGAACTTAACTTTTGAAAGGCTTTAGAACTCCTTTTTTTTTTTTTTTTAGAATTCTTTTAACACTTGCTTGTGACATCTGTTTTATAGGAGTGGTCTTAGATAAAATAAATTTAAGAAAAGTCAGTATAATAATACAAAGCACTTTCCTCCTGTCTCACATGTCAGATAATCAAGCTGAAAATGAAAATATAAACCTAGACTGGCCCTGATAAAGAGAATAAAGAGGTTATTGTGCAGTGGAAAGGCAGGAGACTAGAGAAGTCTCCACTTTTCTACTACAAATAGCTGTGTTACTTGAATGAGACATTTTGTTCTTTCTGTACATCCATTTTTTCATATCTTTAATGAAAGTGTAAGTTTACACTCTGGAGCGCCTCATGACTCGAAATTCTTTTACTCTAGAGATGCAGGGTCTCTGAAGCTCCTTTTTTCCATAAAAACTTGGTAGAGAGACCCCAGGCAGTTTAAGACATCCATATGGCTTGACACATAAAGACTGTCGATATCTGCACACCCAGTTCTCTGATCTTAGCGCTCTAGCCCCATCAAAGCCCTCTAGCCCCACCAAAGCTATCTCAGGAAGCTAAAATGCCAGGAGCGCTGAACTCACTGTGATTCTCAAAACCACAAAGATGAAGAGGGAGAGGACAGAGAGGTAGATCTGGAGGCGCTTCCCACCAAACCGCTTCTTCAGATATTCTGGCATGGTCATGACCTGCAGACATAGACATCAACAGGGATTCACTCTGAGCCCAGCACATTCGGATTATTCAACATTTACTAAGCACCTACTGGCAGGTGACTGTATGTGGCACCTTGGGAACACGAGTGAGAAAGGCACAGCCTCTTGGGAGAGCAGGAAGGTTGGAATGAACACAGGGGTTGGAATCAGAATTCTTGGGATTTGTTCCCAGATTCAACTTTTACTAGAAGTGTGACCTTTGGCAAAGGACAATCTTTCTGAACCTCCATTTTCTCATGTGGAAAGTGGGGTTTAATATGAAGGTAGATGTAAAATACCTACAACAATACTAAATGCGTGGTAAACACTCAGCAAATTATTTTTATTATTTTCACCAATACTGCTGCAGTCTAGTAAAAACAATATTATTTGTAAATAATGAACCACAATGATGGTTACATAATAAATTGATAATTGAGCAAATTGCAAATACACATTTGGGGATATATTTACGGGATTATCTTTATTAAAAGGAAGAAAGTGACATTAAATCCCTACTTAGAGAAAAATCTGAAGTTATCGTTTCTGAAAAACGAGATCAACTATGTGATGTGTAGCATAAAAGGTGTAGCTTCTGGTTTCTTCATAGCAGATGGAGTTCGTGATTTTATCTCCCCCCATATAAAAGAATGTTAAATAAATATTCATATGATATTATCAAAAACAAGAAGGGGAACTCTTGGTCACTCATAAACTGTGTGGAACCCCCTCAAAGATGGTAAGCCACATCCAAGAACGCACGCATGAGTTCTGCGTCAGGGGTCCTTGCACCAAGGACAGCATCCTTCAACAGAGCTTGGTCAAGCCTAGAACTAGAAGGGACCCAAGACGAGCAAAGGAGAAATGTATGATGACCTGGAGAGGTACTGGCCAGAAGGCTGGGCCCCTGAGTACCCTCATCCCAGGAATTCTCCCAGGATACAGCATCCCATGGTCTGAGCACCAGCAGCAGAAGGAATAAATGTGGTAGCTAGGCTGAGAGTAGCAGAACAGTTGGTTGGCAACCAGTTGGTTGGCAACACCCAGGTTCAAGGGGAGCCACCATAGCTGTGATATATCTTACCTCCAATTGAAAAAAGAAACTACTTTACAAATATCAGAATGGCAAAACTTATGATGAAGGAAAATACCATGTGTTGGTGAGGATGTGGGAAAGTGGGAACCCTCACAATAGTGACCGGCAGGAGGACAGCTGACGGCAGCCATTTTCAAGATCAATCTGGCTGCACCTAGTGGATTTCTATAAATGTAAGCCCAGAAATCCTGGGACGAATGATATTACCCAGGTTTCACGATTGGGCAGAAAGAATGAGGAAATAAATGAATGCCTGACAGATGTGCCGAGAAAATCTGCAGATACTCACCTCTGCCTTGATGTATATGGGAACAAAGAACCACGCTAGAACAAGTAACAGCAGCGAGGCCTACGAGAAACCAAGAAAAGAGTGTAAAGTGAAAGAGGCTTGGCTTATCATCTCATGACCTCTGAGTCTGAAAATAAAATAAGTTTGCTTGAATCCTGTCCCACTCAACCAATTAGGACCCCAAGACAGCTGTGGATTCCTGTCTTGTTTCCATGATTCAGAGGCCACTATTTCCTGGGGCTTAGATGTGACAAAAGGTGTGCGGCGAAAAATGGACTGAAGAGATCTGAGCCCCGCTGGACCACTGGAAGATCATACAATCTTTGCCAAAAGGAATTATTCTTGAATGGCAGGAATTGTATGCAGAGTGACAAAGCAATGAGCAAGAAATTTGGAGATAGAAGAATATTCTCAGTGTCCCCCAAGTCTTGCCACATACGATGACAATAATGTATAATCTTGCATTAGTATGCAATGCTTACAGAGAGACTTCACATATATCAGCCATACTGCTCTCACAGGTGCGGCAGACACGCTACGCACAATGATTCCTATTTTATGGAGGGGGCACTTGAACCTCACAGAGATTAAGGAAGCCCAAGTTCACAGGTTAAAAGAGGAGCAGCCAAGCTCTCAGCAGCCTGGTAATTACACCCACTAGGGCCAAAGGGCATTTTGTCCATGCCTCCGGGGGCTGGCTCCATTCTGGAGTCCATGGCATTATCAAAGCAAAACTACAGCCATAGGGCATATCTAGGGGCTGGGTCCATTCTAGAGTGCCTGATATACTAAAGTGAAACTAGGGGCAAAATCTTCAACAAAGGAGAGGTGCAGGCATTTGTGATGACTCAGATCACTTTCTGAGTCCATCCTGGGACGGTCTGCTTACAATTTCACTGTGTTATCTCCCTCTGATCGATATGCATGCAGATGTACGTGGAAACACGAGAAAGGATAAGAGAAAAGGACAGAAAAAACTAAGGCAATTCAAGAAATATTATGGCACGTTCACCACGTGCCCAGCCAGGTGCTAGATGATGGGGCAGTGCGAGTGACATGAGAGGACATGGTCCCTGTTCTTAAAGAATTTAGGGTCTAATTAAGAGGACATGGCTTCTACTGGTGAAACGGCAATAAAACTATTAGGAATCCACTCACAGAGTCTTGTAGATTCTACTTACTATCTCTAAATCATTCACTCCTTACTGTGCTGTCACTTCCTTGATCAGGCCCCTTCTGGTCAGTTTCTATCCATCTATCTGGCATCAGTACCAGGAAGCTCCCTCCACACATGCCAAGCCCCACCTGTCATCTAGGATGGATGCCCCTCCTGTGAGATCTCTCAATGCTCCCTGCATGTTTCTCTCTGTACTTTCTACGCTGTAGTGAATGCGTGCCTCTCTCTCCCACTGGGATGTAAGCTTCTCAAAAGAAGAGACCATTGCTTTTACATTTTTTAATTCCCTGCATCTAATTCAGAGCGGGACACATAGTGTAATAGCTCAGGGAGGAGAGATACAAGTGAGAGCTAAAATAATAAAACAAAATAAAGGAAATCAAGTGAAAGTAGAGATTGAATCATATAGAAATGACATTCCTGGTGGGAATAACTGCTTGAGCAAAATCTCAGAGGTGGGCAATAATGTGACTGGAATGGCCCAGGCAGAATGGAGCCACACAGGGAAGGCCCTGAAGTTCAAATGAGGGGTGGGTTAGGAGAAGGAAAAATAGAAATCAAATGAAAGCAGAGTTTATCCCATAGAGATCCCCATAAAAACATTCCTGGATATGGGTTTGATTTAAAGGAAAAAGCCTATAATGTCACTTACATTCCATTCAAATGCTGCAGTGGCGATTCCTGAAGCCGCTCCCGTCCCAGCCAGCCCCACAAAGTGGCCACTGCCGATGTTACTGGCGAAGAGAGAGGCGCCCATCTGGAATCCAAGAGGACAGACTAGGATCAGAGTTAAAAGACCCAAATCAGACTTCTTGAAAACAGATAGAGGTTGAGATTTTCCATCACTATTCCTTAGGGCACGTGTCAGCAAACTACGGCCCGTGGGCTGAATCCAGCCAGTCACCAGTGTTTGTATGGTTGTTAAGAATGTTTTTTACATTTTTGAATGGTTAAAAAAAATCTTGAGAAGAACAATATTTTGTGAAATGTGAAATTATGTGAAATCCAAATTTCAATGTCTATACATAGTTTTACTGGAACACAGCCATGCTTGCTGGTTTTACGTATTGACCATGGCTGCTTCTGTGCTACAATGGCAGAGTCGTGTGGTTGCAACAAACTGTATGGCCCATAAACTCTAAAGTACTTACAGTCTGGCACTTTATAGAAAAGCTTGGTGATCTCTGCCTTAGAAGAACATTAATCTATCTACCCAAATGCTCTGGCTTGAGCCCATCCTTGGCCAAGAACTTCCAGATCTCCTGTAGGCCCCTTCAATCAGCCTCAAGAATCCCAAAGTTGGGTAGAAGGGAGTTCCTCTTCATCCTTCTGGCCCTAAGGACCCTCTTCTCATCCACCTCCTTCTCCATCACGTTGTCTGCTTTTCTTAAGTCTCAAAGATCAAGAGAGATCTCTTGAGTAGGCACAGATGAGCACTAGTCCTGACAGAACAGATTTGGGGTATGGAACCCCTGCAGTGCCCCTTTTTCTCTTCCCACTTTTTCAGCCCTCTGTAAAACCACTTGGGGATGAGCTCATTTGTGGCTATGGGATTGGTTCAATCTTGAATGTTTCACAAAAACAGTCCCAAGGAGGCAATGTTGGATTGGACATTCCAAGTAAAAATCCATTCTGAGCTTTCAGTTGATCTACTTCAATCACCCCAGCCAGGTCATTTCCCGGTCTCTGCTTTCCTTCATAATATTTAGTCAGCAAATCTGTGAAAGAAGCATGTACTGAGCATCCACTGTATACCCAACCCACTGCTTACACTGTATGGGTTCAGAGACGAAGATGCACCCTATGCAGCAATGGGACTCTGGCCAAGGAGGCCAAGCATTAAAGCCCAGCAAGGAAGACACCAACTGGGCAAGAATCAAAGAGGCATCAGCATTTGCACCATCACAGGGTACACATATCCTCTATGGTAACTGCATAGAGCAGACATTCAGGTGGGAGTGCAGACGAAGCAGGACTTGAACTGGGTGTTGAAGGAGGAGAGCAGAGAGGGGAGGCTCATCCAAAAAAAGGGGCAGCATTAGCTCAGGATTGGGAGCAAAGAAGGAATGTGCTGGGGATCTCAAGGAGCCAAGGCAGAAGATTCTTGGTGAGGACCAGCAAAAAATAACATGAAGCAGAGCTGAACTGGGTCTTCTTAAAGGCCGCATTACACCTGCTCTTATAATCAGTGACGCACTGTAATTGATTAGAACTACAGGGCAGAGACCTGAGGCCAGGGATTTAGGAAAAGAGACAACAGCAGGTAGTCAACCAACGCACATCAGAGATTCTCAGCATTCCCAAGTTTTCTTTATTTACTCTTTATTTATTTATTTATTTTTTTGTTTATTGCAGTAACATTGGTTTATAACATTGTAAAAATTTCAGGTGTACATCATTGTACTTCTATTTCTGCATAGATTACATCATGTTCACCACCAAAATACTAATTACAACCCATCACCACACACATGTACCGAATTATCCCTTCGCCCTCCTCCCTCCCCCCTTCCCCTCTGGGAACCACCAATCCAATCTCTGTCCCTATGTGTTTGTTTATTGTTGTTATTATCTACTACTTAATGAAGGAAATCATACGGTATTTGACTTTCTCCCTCTGACTTATTTCACTTTGCATTATACCCTCAATGTCCATCCATGTTGTCACAAATGGCTTTAGCTAGACTCACCAAGAAAAAAAGAGAGAAGGCACAAATAAGTAAAATCAGAAATGAAAGAGGAGAGGTTACAACAGACACCTCTTTATTTACTCTTAAACACACAGACACAGGAAATTTATCTCCGGGAAACTCTGATCCACTCACCGGCCACCAGACCATATCTCGCCCAGCCAGGAAGAAGCCTCCAATAGTGTTCCGGTTGGTCCTCAGCATCGCCTGAGAAGAAGGGAAGACGTATGAGGGTCAAGCCCCAGCCTGGACCCAAGATGCCCCAGGGGCTCTGGCCAGGTGCTGATGGAAGTGACCTCGTCCAGCACTCCTAAAGGGAGAAACATTTTCTTGGAAGTGGTGATATAGCATCAATTTTTAAAGTACTTCAAAATCATAGTTTCATAGAAACACAGGGATTTTAAGAAATCATATTCCTCAACTTATGTCCTAATTTCTGTTTATTTTCATTTATGAAAACAATGTGAGGAATCACTAAAGTTGTTTTTAGAAGAAAAATTGCAACCTCACACTCATTACTAAAAAGAAAGAATGAATGTAAATGAATTAAGCATCCAACTCAACTAAATTAGAAAGTGAGAAAATAACAAAGGAAAATAAAAGAAGTGAGGTAATAAAAATAACATCTTTATTCATTATGCCAGGTGCTGGAGAGGCTGAACAGAATAAGTCTGAAGTTCCTACTGCTGGCTCTATTCAAGTGATAGAGTTGTTAGCAAAATAAATTAACTCAGTGTAAGCACTGTTTATGTCACACACGAGAAAATGATTCTGAGGAAAGGACAACGAAATCTGCGACAGCTGCTAATGCTCTCTCATCTTCATCACACCACACCTTTCCCTCCCTCAGACGTTTTACTCCCAGGTCACGTGCCCGCCCTAAACACCCCATTGGGCTCCTACATACCCACAGCCCTACAGCCATCACCACTAGGAAATAGATGACAATGACGGAGATGTCAGCAGGGTTTCGGATGCGCTCTGACATCGCAGGTGTCTCTGCGTTCCCAGTCGTGGTGCTGGGGCTTAACGTGCTGGCCATGGCTGCAGGTGGTGCCTTCCCCATCCTTGGATGGCCCTTTGCTTATATAAGCTCTGGGTTAATGATCAGCCTCGAGGAGGTGGAGCACGCTATCAGAGCCAGCTCCTGGGCAAGGGGACCTTTAAACCTCTTCTCTGAAGCTCTGAGACCCTGGGCCTCTGGCAGTCAGTGTTGACCTAAATGGAGTGTGAGAATGTGGGGTGAGAGACAAGAAATGAGATGAGAACTGGAGGTGGAGAGAGGGGTGTTCATTGAGTGGAAAAACAGAGTCTTTAAGAAGATTTGACCAGGTTGAGTGAGGACTAGGGAGAGATGAAGGGGACAAGGAGGGGAGAAGATCAGAGGGGAAGGGGCCAGAAAAGAGTCAAGAGGGATGGAGGTGACAGTCCCTTACAGAGCAGATAAGATTCCTGACCGAGCAATTATATCCCTTGAAAGTGAAGTTAAATATGCATTTCTTGGGTTGCAAAGCACCATATTTCTCTGGAACCAGGTAATCTGAAGTAGGCTTTATATGACACATCAGGACCATGGCAGCCCATGTAGGAAAGGGAAGTAGCTCTGTGAGCACTGAGTATGGAAGTGTGAGGGCAGGGCTGCACAGTGGGCTGGGTCAGAGGTTTTGACAATGAATGAATCAACCTAAAATTATATGATGGTGATACTCAGGATTCAGGGCCCATGACCTTTCAACTGCATGATGTTAGAAGTAAAGCCTCGACTCTCTTTTTTCCCCCATAAGTTTATTGCGGTAAAATATACATAATGTAAAATTTACCAACGTAGCCACTTTTCCAAGTGTACAATTCAGTGGCGTTTAATACATTCTCAGTGTTGTGCAACCATCACCACTCTCTGTTTTCAAAACTTGGTCATCATCCCTAACAGAAGTTCTGTATCCATCAAACAATAACTCCCATTCCTCCCTCTTCCCAGCCTCTGGTAACCTCTATTCTACTTTCTATCTCTATGAATTAGCCTATTCTACCTCATATAAATGGAATCAAACAGTATTTGTCTTTATATGTTCAGCTTATTTCGTTTAGCATGATGTTTTCAAGATTCATCCATATTGTAGCACGTGTCAGAATTGCATTCCTGGGGCTGGCCCCATGGCTTAGCGGTTAAGTGCACACGCTCCGCTACTGGCGGCCCGGGTTAGGATTCCAGGTGCGCACTGACACACTGCTTGTCCGGCCACGCTGAGACCGCGTCCCACATACAGCAACTAGAAGGATGTGCAACTATGACATACAGCTATCTACTTGGGCTTTGGGGGAACAAAAAAGGGGGAGGACTGGCAATAGACGTTAGCTCAGAGCCGGTCTTCCTCAGCAAAAAATAAAAAAGAGGAGGATTAGCATGGATTTTAGCTCAGGGCTCATCTTTCTCACACACACACACAAAAGAATTGCATTCCTTTTCAAGGCTGAATAATATTCTATTGCATGTATAGATCATATTTTGTTTATTCATTTATCTGTTGATGGACTTTTGGGTTGTTTCCACCTTTTAGATATTGTGAATAATGCTGCTTGAACATCAGTGTACAAGTGCCTGTTTGAGTGCCTGCTTTCAATTCTTTTGAGTACACACCTAGAAATAGACTTGCTGGGCCATATGATAATTCTACATTTTATGTTTTAAGGAACCACTAAACTGTTTTCCACAGAAGTGATAACATTTTACTTTCCCATCAGGAATGCATAAGAGTTTCAATTTCTCCACATATTCAACAGCACTTATTATATTCAGTTTACAAAATTATAACCATCCTCATAGGTGTGAAGTGGTATTTCATTGTGGTTTTGATTTGCATTTATAATGCAATGGTTAATGATGTTGAGTATCTTTTCAAGTGCTTATTGGCTATATATATCTATTTTTGGAGAAAAGTCTGTTCAAGTCTTTTGCCCATTTTAGAACTGGATTGTTTGTTTTGTTTGTTGTTGATTTATAGGAGTTCTTTAGATATTCTGGATGTTAATCTCTCATTAGAGAAATAGTTTGAAAATACTTTTTCCCATTCTGTGGGTTGTATTTTCATTCTCTCGATAATGTCCTTTGATGCACAAAAATTTTAATTTTGATAAAGTTCAATTATCTATTTTTTGTTTTGTTGCTTGTGTTATTAGCGTCATATTCAAGTAACCATCATCAAATCCAATGTCATAAAGACTTCATCCTATGTTTTATAGTTTTAGATCTTATGTTTAGGTCTTTGATCCATTTTGAGTTAATTTTTGTATATGGTGTAAGGTAAGGGTCCAATTTCACTCATTTTCATGTGGATATCCAGTTTTTGTTTTTGTTCTTTTTGGTGAGGAAGATTGGCCCTGAGCTAGCATTTGTTGCCAATCTTCCTCTTTTTGCTTGAGGAAGATGGTCCCTGAGCTAACATCTGTGCCAGTCTTCCTCTATTTTGTATGTGGGACGCTGCCACAGCATGGCTTGATGAGCAGTGCAAACGTCTGTGCCTGGGATCCAAACCTGTGAACCCCAGGCCACTGAAGTGGAGCTCATGAAATTAACCACTATGCCACTGGGTTGGCCCCAGGATATCCAGTTTTTGAGCATCATTTATTGAGGCTGTTCTTTCCCATTGAATGGTCTTTGCACTCTTGTCAAAAATCATTTAGCCCCATGTGCAAGGGTTTATTCCTGGGCTCTTTATTCTATTCCCTTGATCTATATGTCATTATGCCAGTACCATACTGTTTTGATTACTGTAGCTTTGTAGTAAGTTTTGAAATCAGGAAATGTGAGAATTCCAAGTTTGTTCTTTTTCAAGATTGTTTTGACTATTCAGAGTTCTTTGAGATTCCACATGAATTTTAGGATGAGTTTTTCTATTTCTGCCAAAATGCGATTTGGATTTTAATAGAGATTGCATTGACTCTACAGATTGCTTTGGATAGTATTATAATCTTAACAATATTAAGTCTCCTAATCCATGATTACAGGAAGTCTTTCCATTTATTTGTGTCTTCTTTAATTTCTTTCAACAATGCTTTTTAGTCTTCATTGTGCAGGTCTTTCACCTCCTTGGTTAAATTTATACTTATGTATTTTATTCTCATTGATGGTACTGTAATGGAATTGTTTACTTAATTCTCTTTTGGGATTGTTCATTGTTAGTGTATAGAGATGCAATCAATTTCGTGTTGATTTTGTATCCTGTAAATTTGCTCAATTAGTTTATTAGCTCTAACAGTATTTTTTGTGGAATTTTTAGGGTTTGCTATATATACTATCATGTTATTGGGAAACAGAGTTAATTTTATTTCTTTCTTTCCAATTTGAATACCTTTTACTTATTTTTCTTGCCTTGTTTTCTCTGGTTAGGACTTCCAATACTATTTTGAATTAATGAAATCAGTCATTCTTGTCTTGTTTCCAAGCTCAGGGGAAGAGCTTTCAGTCTTTCACCATTGAGTATGATGTTAGCTGTGAGTTTTTTTTTTAATTTTTAATTTTATTTTTTCCCCCAAAGCCCCAGCAGACAGTTGTATGTCATAGTTGCACATCCTTCTAGTTGCTGTATGTGGGATGTGGCCTCAGCATGGCTGGAGAAGCAGTGCGTTGGTGCGCGCCCGGGATCCGAACCCGGTCCGCCAGCAGCGGAGCGCACACACTTAACCGCTAAGCCACGGGGCCGGCCCTAGCTGTGAGTTTTTCATATATGACCTCTAACGTGTTAAGGAAGTTTTGTTCTATTCCTTGTTTATCGAGTGTTTTTTTAAATCAAGAAAGTTCAAAATTTTCAAACTTTTTTTTCCCCTACATCATGGCATTTTTTTCCCGTCATTCTATTAATGCAATTTATTACGTTGATTGGTTTTGGTATGTTGAACCATTCTTGCATTCTGGGAATAAATCTCACTTATTCATACAGTGTATAATTCTTTTAGTGTGCTGCTGAATTCAGTTTGCTTGTCTTTGAGGATTTTTGCATTAATATTCATAATGGATATTGGTCTGGAGTTTTCTTGTTTCTTTGTCTAGCTATAGTATCAGGTAATGCTGGCTTCAAAGAATGAATTAGGAAGTGTTCTCTCATCATCGATTTTTTGGAAGAGTTTGAGGATGATTGGTGTTAAATATTTTTTTAAATGTTTGGTAGAATTCACCACTGAAACAAGTGGCAAATTATTATTCTTTCTTGGGATGTTTTTGATTACTGATTCAATCTCATTTAGATTTTCTATTTCTTTATCATTCACTTTTCATAGATTGTGTTTCTAGGAATTTGTCCATTTGATCTAGGTTAACCAATTTTTTGGTGTACAAATGCCTACAGTATTCTCTTATAATCCCTTTAATTTCTGAAAAATCAGTAGCAATGTCCTCAAATTCATTTCTAATTTAAGTAATTTAGGCCTTCTCTCTTTTCTTCTGAGTCAACCTAGCTAATGGTTTGTCAATTTTGTTAATCTTTCTGAAGAAATAACTCTTGCTTTAGTTGATTTTCTCTGTTGTTTTTTCTGTTCACTATTTTGTTTATCTCTGCCTTAATCTTTATTATTCCCTTCCTTCTGATAGCTTTGGGATTAGTTTTTAGGGTTCCTTAAGGTTTAAAATTAGTTATTGGATTTGAGATCTTTCCTCTTTTTAAATGTAAGTCTTTAAAGCTATGTATTTCACCCTTAGTACAGCTTTCTTTGCAACCCATAAGTTTTGGTATATTGTGATTTTGTTTTCATTTATCTCAAGTTATTTTTTGCTAGCTTTATTGAGGTATAATTGAAAAATAAAAATTGTACATAATTAAGGTGGACAGGGGATGTATTAATATATGTATGCATTGTGAAATGATTACTACAAACAGGCTAATTAACATATCCCTCACCTCACATAGTTACCATTTTTTTTTTTGGTGAGAGCAATTTAGATCTACTCTCTTAACAAATTTAAATTATACAATACAGGATTATTAACTATAGTCAGCACGCTGTACATTAGACCCCAGAATTTATTCATCCTGCAGAACTGAAACTTTGTA